GCGTGCTTTGTTTATCAGCTCGCGCACATCAGCTATACAGGTGTTAATACTGAATGTTTAACATTATATTCATTGCATACATATACTTCGTAGACATCTTTAATCTCTAATAACTCCATTCTGCTGTCTGTTGTCGGTGTTTCTTTGTCTGAATATGGCACTTATCACATGCTGTGTGGTATCGGCGTTTGGTATCGGGGCATTTTAATGAGTACGAGTACAGGAACTCAGTATCGGGCCCGATACCGATACCAGTATCCCTAGTAAAAATCAGTATCGGCAGATCACACTAATAAAAAATCGGAAATCGGAATCGGCCAAGAAAATTGCAATCGGTGCATCTAGAGACTTCATCTTCTGTAAGAGGAGAGAAGGAGGAGAGAAGATGGTCAGCTGTGTGAGTGTTTGCTGAGAGATCCTGGGTGAGTGGAGCTGAGAACTGACTGCTGATGGATGTGGTTTTGGGAAGAGGTGGTGGGAGGTGGCGGAGGTGGACAAAGGAGAGTATTGAATGTTTTGAAGAGTTTGCTTGTGTCTGATGCGCTGTTGATCTTGTTATGGAAGAAGGTAGTTTTGGCAGCATGAACTTTGGTGGAAAATGAACATAGCAGTGACTGATACCTGCTGAGATCAGCTGAATCTTTTGATTTGTGCCATTTTCTCTCCGCTGCCCTGAATTCAGCCCAAATGTTGCTGGTGTTTGGACATGTTGTCAAATGAATTTAGTTCTGAAGAGAAAGACTTAAATTAACATCAAAGGTAGTTCAATGTTTAATGTATTAATTTTATTAACCTTCTGTCCTACAGAAAACTGCCTTCATGGTCGCACTAGGCCTGGTCACCACAGAACACTTGGAAGGTGAGTTGCATTTAGTGGCAGAGCTAGAGTTTTATACATGGGGTGGCCAAGGCTAATTCAGGGGGTCCATAGACCATGACAGAAAATCAGTGTACTCCAACCTGGCATAAAAAAAGCATGAATAAATCCTACAATTGCTGATTACCCCACATTATCTTTACATTCATAAATTCAAATGTTAGTCTATTGGAACATATTTCTCTTATTTCTATCATCTGATTAACCAGCGGTTGAAGCAAAAGACGCAAAAGTGAATTTTGTAAATGTTTTTAAGGAAACCTAAAACTTCAACTTACTTCAAACAGAATTGCCAACTTTTGAGTTCAGCCTGGAGTGAGAATTATTAAGGAATAATTAACAAGCTTGTGATTATGTACATAATATTTTTTCTAAATTTCTTCTAAACTAAACTATACAGTGAACCCTATTGTTAAGGTTAAAAGTAACAATTGATTTGTTCATATTAGACCATTTTTATAATAAAGTTATATCTATACATTTTTGTTAATTATAATAATGTAATTATATGAGTAAAATTTCAATAAATGTAATTTTTGCAAAATTCTTCTCTAGTGTACATTTTTCTCGCTAGTTTATGGAGACTGAAAGGTTATGTGACAATGTTTTCAAGCTGCTGTCTTTCTGCAGTTGAAACACTGATTGAATAATTAAGTTGTAGTGTATCTTTCAACATGCCCTCGGATGTTCATTCACGTTTATTTCATACTAGTTAGAATTCAGTCCTGCTTCGCATGAACTGAGGCAAAGCGGGAGCGCACATGAACCGTCATGCCACTAATGAGCTCCAAAACTGTATTTATCGTTTGAAATTCTTAATAAAACTAGCAGAATTTGAATGCTGAGACTTTGTTTTCTATTATCAAAAGTAGGGATGCACCGATACCACTTTTTCCAGTACTCGCCTGATACCGATACTTTTTATTTTTGGTACTTGTCGATACCGAGTACCGATACCAATATTTTCATTGCATTTGTAAATTTTTAAAATATTGGGTACAGAAACCAAAAGAGTATGTATAATGTTAGTTGGTTAAATTCATTTATCAAATAGATACAGTCAAACAAAAATGTATTTAGACACCTTCAACTTTTCTCACATTATCACAGTTTATTCGCTATAGTTTAGAAAATGGTAATAAAATATTCACAGTTTAGTTTATTTTGCTATCCTCACTTTACATAAATGAACTATAGTGTCCTACACCCACTAGTAAAAAAATATCAAAAATTATATCTGGTCTCTGAATAATTTTTGGTTTGACTGTATATCCTTCTGTTATTTTCACACTTAATTATGCCCATTAAAATGTATTTTACAAGTTTTTGTTACTTTCACTGATCATTTTTTCTCTCTCTCTATGGTAGCCTACATCATCTTTCATTTAATAGCATTAGAGCTGCTCTATTGCAGCGGCTTAGTACTTAGCATTTTCAGTGACAATGTTTGGATTTTAAATGAAAATAATGGATAAATGTTGTGTTTGTGGTAAACAGCAACGGATCAGTAGCGGACTCCTGTGTGAAAGCACAGTCCGTGCTGCTTCCCCTCTCACAAGAGTCACCTAAGAGGGGAATTCCCCCCATTTTCAAAAATGAAATTCAGGCCCTGAATAAATGTCTAAAAATCCTGATTGGAGTATCATTATAAATAGTTATAAATGATAAAAAGAAGGCTTTAAAAGATCGGTATCGGTGATCGGTATCGGCAGATACTGCTTTCTGTGATCGGCGATCGGTGATCGGCCTCAAAAATCCTGATCGGAGCACCCCTAATAATGACATTTATAAAATTTATATGAATTACCCATACACCTATGAGCTATTTCCATTAAACAATGGACATATTAATGAAATCTTAGAAAAAGCAAATTCATTTTTTATTTTATGGACCAGTGTGGAAGAATATCTCATTTTCCAAGATTGAAATCACCCTTCAAAATAGAGCCAAATATCAATATATCATCAATAAACTGAATTTTTGATGTCAGTATGAATTTTTTATGTGATGGTTATTTTGTGGTGCTGTTTGTTAAAAATCTTTTTGATGATTGTTAATTGTTTTGATATTATTGATCTTGGAGAAATGTCTAGTCAGTTCAAAATGCTTTATACATATCAGGGAATAAATGAACACATTCGCCAAACTTGTGTTGATACAGTTGTGTTGAATAGTTTGAAATTCATTTTAGTTCAATTTCCAATTCAACATCCTGTGTGTTGTGGCCAATTATATTTAAATTCACACTGAAAGGAGACAATTATTCTGATTTCTGCTTAACTTTGAATGAAACCATTTAACACATTAACAAACAAAAACTAAGAAAAGGAGATGTTGGGGTTTAAAGATCCATCACAGATGGTGTTTTCATTTCTGTCAGAGATCCAGACTAAACGGCAGGAGAGAAAAAGGCGAAGCACAGCTAACCCTGCGTACAGCGGACTGTTTGAACCAGAGGTCTGTCTTCCAGTCATAATTTCTTTAAATAATGTTCATTTTATGGCTTTGTTCATTTGTAAACATCTTGCTTTTTTTAGCGCAAACGACTTGCCTCCAATTACCTGAACAGTGCGATGTTTCTGTCGGCGAGAGGTAAAATAGATTTCTACTTCTGTCAACATAATGGTGTTGGGGTTGAGCTGGAAAATAATGCATGAAATACACAGAAACATGTTTGAAAAGAATAAATTAGACTCACACATTCACCATAAATACTCATGTTTTAATAGTTCTTTAACCAGTGACTTTTCTTTGACATGAAAGGTTGACTAATAAAGCCAAATGCTAACTGCTTTAACCTGCTGAATACACGCCAACATTGCTGTTTAACCCTTAATAACTCAGTTTTGTCAGTGTGACGGCTACTAACCTACTCTCTGCTTTCACTCACACGCTAGACTCTGAGGAGCTCTGCTGGAAGGTACATCTTTACTCTAACATCACTCTGTGTGTGTGAATCTCTTGTGACAAGAATATATATTGTTTTGACATATCTTAAATATACAAAAATGACCGAAATATATCAGAAAAATGTGAATTCAGTCATCATTTAATTAAAGGGGTCCTATTATGCTCTTTTACAAAGTCTTGATTTTGTTTTGGGGGTGTACTAGAACAGGCTCTCATACTAGGTTGTTCGAAAAACACATTATTTTTAACACCCCCTTTCTGTTCCAAACCGGTATGATTTTTTTTTGTGGAACATACCCACACAAAATTTATTGTTATGGTACTTTCCCATTTGAATAAAATTACAATACTCAGTTCTCAGGGTAAAGTACTTTAGAAATGAAGTCAAATTGAAATACAATTTAAGTAAATTACAATTGAAATACTTTACAGCTTTGGTCAAAAAGCTGTTTTTGTTTTTAACCAAATATTTCTATTTCAGGCATTTATATACACAAGTACAATTTTTATTGTTTATGTATACAATAAAACCATTTTAGTTAGTAAAAAACATGTTTATTGAAGTGGCAAAAATAATGAAAAATCTTTGATTGTGTTTCATCATAAACAAACACTATGAAACCCATAGCCATTATAACTTACCGATCAACTAACATGATCATTGTAATAAAAAAATAAATAAACAAACCAGTATATTAGCACTATCATATAGCACTGTTGTGTCTGTACAGTTTCATGTGACCAGCCTGATGCATTGGCGTGGAAATAGAAATGTGATGTGTTCTAAAATAATGGACTCCTTAAATCACATTTAAAATGTACATTTTTTTTTTTACAGCTTAATTTTACTTATGAAAGGGCTAATAGTTATATCTTTAAATAATATTAAAAGTGTTTTTTAAGAATTGCTGACAGACTGTTGTGTGGTGTGTTTCTGTAAATGTGTGTGTGTGACGTAGGAGGAGCAGCAGCATGATGATCACTGTGCAGCGTGTAAACAAGAAGGAGATCTTCAGCCGTGCCACACCTGTTCCCGCGCCTATCACCCCGACTGCCTGCATCCACCTCTCAAAACTGCCACCCGGGGCATGTGGATGTGCCCCAAGTGCCAGAAGAAAGTATGTTTCTCTTCTATGCTTTGAACACACACATTATATAAACCACAACAGCACAAGGATGTCTGCAGGACATTTATTTGACATTTTTCATTTCATCTGGACAATCAGGGTTTGAAATTAACTTTTTCACTCACCAGCCAATTTGGCTACTACATTTTTAAGTTACCGGCCATTCATAATTTCAACTAGCCAAAAAAATTAAACAAATAAATTATGAAAAAAAGGCCAGAGGTAAGCCAACAGCATAAGGCTGTCCACACTGGATGCGACAAAGTGACCATTGCCAATCATTTGTACTTTGTCAAACAGTAGGACTACGTCATAAATAGAATGAGGCATCAGTTTACTGTCGGGGATTTGTTGTGCTGTGCTGTGCCACATCCAGTGTAGGCCGCATCACCGATTATAATGGTTTCTATAGTATTTTGTCGCTGTGACGAGTGGGGGCGGGGCCGAGAGCCGTGGGAACGGAGCGAGGCTAGATGCCCAGATGCTGCGCAATTAGGCTTATTTAATATATCATGATGAGTCTCGAGTTCAGTATTTACACTAAATCTGTGCAGATTTGGCTTACATGAACTTCCTCAAGAAATTAATTAGTAAACATAATTTACGAAAAGTAACCCGCCAAATTGGCTAGTGATTTGACAGCGTTACCCGCCACAGCTGATTTTTACCCGCATTTGGCGGGTTGGCGGGTGTTAATTTCAAACCCTGTGGACAATGTAGTATTCTGCATGGATACAACCTAAATGTTTGCCTCATGCAGTTATCAAAGTAATAAATTGATCTTGTTTTAGGAATAATTCGATATTTTTACTAGAAAATATATATAGCTGTCCTCTTTTTATATCATAATGATAAGATAAATACAACATTTCTGATGAAAGTGCCCAAGTCATATTGAAAATGATCTTCTGTTACAAATACATAATTTAGGGGAAAAGCGGGAATAATTTAGGGGAATAATTATATTCTTTACTGTAGACAGTCATTTTAGAAGAAAAAAATATTTAAAATTTGGACCCACTTTATATTAAGTGGCCTTAACATCTATGTACTTACATTTAAATTAATAATTTGGTACAATGCACTTATTGTGTACATACATGTGTTTACATTGTACTTATAGTTTAAAAATACCTGCAATTACGTCTGTAATTCATTTCTGTAATTACATTTATAATTACACAGTTGACCCATCCCTTACACCTTAACCCACACTTAAACCTACCCTTACCAACAAACCTGTCCCTAACCTTACCCATATCCCAACTCAATAGCAGCAAAAGTGTTTTGCAATACAACATGAACACAATAAGTACATTGTAC